AAAAAAAAAAGAAGAAGAAGAAGAAGATAGTAGGAAGGGAAAAATGAAGGGGGGGAAATTGGAAGGGGAGATGAACCATGAGAGACTACGGACTCTGGAAAACAAACTGAGGGTTCTAGAGGGGACGGGGGTGGGGGGATGGCTTAGCCTGGTGATGGGTATCAAAGAGGGCACGTACTGAATGGAGCACTGGTGTTATATGCAAACAATGAATCATGGAACACTACATCAAAAACTAATGATGTAATGTGTGGTGATTAACATAACATAATAAAATTTTAAAAAAAATTTGTACCATGGTAAATAAGACCTGGTTATTGTCTCCAAGGAGCAAAATGCTGGTTAAGTAAGGGGGGGAAGGAGAAGAAACTAACAAATACTGAGTACTTACACGAAGTCAGGCACTTTATTGAGGATTCTCTACTGTTAATCACATTTAATATTTCCACATTTAATGTTATCACATTTAATATTACCACAAAAACCCAATGGAGCAGTATTATAACCCTACTTCACTGATGAGTATACTGAGGTTAAATCACTTATCAGAGATCACATACTCAATAACTCTTGGTCAAATATTTCTGTGTACAAAAATTATGCATTCTCTTCTATACCCAAAGTTCAATGTACATGAAAGAGTTATAAATAATTCATGAGAAAACTGAGAATCATTTGGCACAGATTTTAAATTATAAAAGTGATAAGACAGTATTATCATTGTGGACTGGTTCACTAAAAAAAATGATTCATGAAAGGTTGAATTAGAAAATGCTATAAGATTTGAATAATGGACAAATAAAAGTATAAACTTATACCATTCATGAATATTACCTACTTATTTAGCACTGTGATAAGCAAGCTTTTACTTTACTGATTCTTAAGCCAGCCTCATTAGGTGCAAAATATTTGCCAATTTAGAGATTAACAAAAAAACAAAAACAAAAGAGATTCAATGAGTTTAAGAAATAGTAAACTAAGTTCACAGAGAAAATAAGGGACAGAATTGTGAATTCACAGTATCTAAAGCTATGATATTCCCAAATATCACTGGGATTTGAAACAAATGTTTGTTATAAGGTGGCAGAAGTCTCACTTTGTAGATTTATTTCAGATTGTAACTATTTTGACAGATAGTCAGAACCAACATTAATGATCTTATCTATATTACATTAAGGTATTTGCTTAATAAGTCCATTTTCTGACAAATTTCAATTTCTTCCCTACTCCTGCTTTCCTTGAATTGTAACTGATGCTTATAAATATTTTCTTGACTTCAAATAATCCAGTTCCTCCTGAAATAGAAAAAAAGAAATAAGAACACTTGAAGATGAAAAATACAACCTTCAAAAATCATATGTAACTTATCCTCCAAGTGTAAAACTATAATATTACATGCTTAATAACCCAGGAAAAATAAAAATATCTGAAGTCTCCTTAGGGGTAGATCAACAGTACTATAGAGTTACATTATTTTCCATTATGTCAGAGGGTATCATACTGGTCTTCAGTAGAGAATCATTTTCTTGCTGTTTAATAATACCAAGCAACTAGTAATCCAATAAAAAACAAATCAGCAGGGCTATTTGATGTCACATATAACTTCAAGAGAGACCATTTCAATGAGTCTACAACCTACATCTCTAAGTAATAAGAATGTTTCATTGTATTATTCAGTACCTTGCAGAGGCCCATTAAATGTTTGCTGAAAGGAATTTAATTGGGAGTAAAGCCAAAAAGTCTGTTGGTAAATGTGAATATGAAATGTTTTAATTTCTACATACTTTATCTTTGCACTTTCTACTCTCCTTTGTTTTCATAGCAAAAATATGAAATTATTGATGCATGATACCTGTGAGAAGCGATGCAAATAATTTCCAAAGGAGAAATTAAAGGGGTGGTAATAATAATATATATAATCATTATATTAAACTTTAATATATAGCTCTTATATTCATAGACATAGAATATTAAGTTCTTATGTTCACACATGGAATATACTTAATATATTACCTAGTCCAACTTCCCATTTATACATTCATTTATACATATGTTTATTTTCTAATTGATTTATATATTAATTCATATATGCATTCACTTAAACTCCTAGCTTTAATGAAAATTAAGGAGAGTAGCACTTGCCTCATAGGCTTTTCATAAATATTCAATGAAATAATCGATGCTAAATGTACAACATATTATCTGATAAATGGTATACATTAATATTACTATTATTAAATTAAATATATTTTTATTGAGAGTCTGATATGAGCAAAGCTCTATGATAAAAAAATGAATAAACATGTAACCAACTCTCTAGTTACATCTTGGTAAAGAAATTAAGAAATACATCCATATAATATTAATAAAAGAATGTGATGATAGGTACCAGAAGAAAAAGTTTTATTAGAGGGTAGAGATTTCCAAAGACCAATGTCCTTCCTTCCACAGTATATATGACAAGCACTTCAAAAATTTCTTTTCGCAGTTTTTTTCACTGATTCACTAGTTAGCCCATTCCATTTTTTAAGAAGTTTAATTATTAGAAATCATATTCCATTATTCCATATGGAAGCTGACTTCAGTACTTTCCAAAATATTTTCCATTTTATTTCTACCCTCTATCAGGTAAATTTCAAGCAAATGAAAATCAAATGGGGAAAATGCTAAATAATTCTCTTCAGTTTGTTTTTCTTTTTACACAGAAGCTAATAAATGGTAAGTGAATTATTCTATATATAACACTATTAGTTTTATTTCTGCTGACTTCTAAATAAAATAGCCTAGCCAAAAGGATAAATAACAGACTGACCTAACCACATGTTCCCAATGTATTATTAAACTGCACTGTATTTCCTCTGGGAAGAAATTACACTGCTATTTCGTTTACATTTTTTATATCAATAGATGTCTGAATTTCACTTGAGCTACAGAATAGGGCTGAAGGAATAAAATTTGACAAAGCTGGATTCAACTAATGAGAGGTAAGGGAGTTCAGGGAAGCTTGAGTTTTGCCATGAACTCTAGTTTTCATTATAGTGTTTGGGGAAACAGGATATATCAAGGAGAGGGATTAAATGGCATGAGAAAGGGTGAACATAATTAGATTTTATGTTTGAAGAGGTATACTGGAAAATACGCTGTCAAAATCTGACACATACCTTCAGTGTTTCCGTTACAGGCAATATTGTTTCCCCAAATAAGACTATTTTTTAAGGTATTTATTAACTTGGTGTTTTCCAATTTAAGCTAAATTATTGAGCTTCTTGTTGACATTATTTGTTACTGGAAATGAGAGAAATGAATGTGATATTTGCCTTAGAATGCTTATTCTCATATTCTGCTCTTGTGATGTCACGTTTTACCTGTCTATATTTGGTGTTGCTTATTACTGTAGGCAGCAAGAGATGTGCACGTGTCAAGTTGCCTCTAGCTGGCAAATATATTTCTGGAAGACATAATGTTTTAAACAGGAAACATAGGAATGTCTACAAGCCAATCTGTTGACAAGTAATAAAGTATTCATACTATACCTCCAGCACAAGAAGTTGAAAGGAAGCTCTTACTGGTAACATTCCTCTGCATGTATTAAAAAGCTAATAATCAGAAAAAAAAAGTCTTTACTCCTACAAAAAACAAGTTTTACAAAGATTTGGGTTAAATGCAAATGAATTGTTAAAACTATTAAATGAGAATTTCTATCTCCTTTTTTTTTTAGGTCATTCAATGAATACTTCAATACAAATGTAACATATAGTTAATGTTATTTCTATTATAGGATTATACTGGTGTTAGGAAAAAATGATTCACAATCCCAGAAAATTTATTTCCTATATTTCCTTAATCATAGGTTATGTCTCTGAAACTGCAACCCACAAAGAAAGTAAGAAATAAAAGAAAAATAACAACTATCAAAGAAACTTTTCACAATGACATCTGTTTTTAAATTTTTTTTAATATTTTATTTATTTGAGAGAGAGAGAGACAGAGACAGAGCACACAAGCAGGGGAGGGACAAAGGGAGAGGAAGGAGCAGACTCCCCACTAAGCAGGGAGCCCGATGTGGGGCTCAATCCCAGGAACCCAGGATCACAACCTGAGCCCAAGGTAGACACTTAACCGAATGAGCCACCCAGGCACCCCACAATGACATCTGACTTAAACAAATAACAACATCTCAACTACAGGCAAAATTTAACTTCATTTAAAACTTTTCAGAACATATTATATTAAAAGAATACCTGCATTTAAGTTTTAAAATGTTAATGTAATATTCAATATTTCATATTTTCTGAGTAAATGAACATTTAAAATATTATGCCACAGATTTCCATTTCTGGTCGAGATGGAATGACAAAAACCAGATTTACTCTACTCACTGAAACAAACCACTATCAGACAGAATATATGAAATATTTATTAAGACACCAAATACCAGAAAATGAAGGCTAGTGATCCTTGAGAGATGGTACATGAATGTTGTGAGCGTTATGTGATTCTATAGTACTGGAGAGAAAACTTCACAATGCATGGGGCATTCAGTAGAGTATACAAGAGAGCCAACTCAGTAATGGTGAGTAATTAGCCTTAGACTGAGCACTACTCTGGATCTTTGTAATAAATCTTAGAAGGAAAATTTAAAGGACAAAACAATTCTCAACTTATTTAACTGAGTCCCAGTAGAAAGCTTAAAAGCATTTATAGAAATACAAAAATATTCAACATTCAAGAGGGAATATTCACAATTACCAAGCATGCAAAAAGTAGGAAAAAGCCAACCCAGAACTAACACATGTGCTAGAGCTAGCAAACATTATAAGAATTATAACAGTTATATTCCATCTGTTCAAAACCTAAAGGAGAATCATAGGAACTATTAAAGATATACCAAAGTATACAGAATTAAGAAACTTATAAAGATCACAGCAGAAATAAATGAAATAGATGAATAGGAAACAAACAAGAAAATCAATGAAACCCTAAACCCTGTGTCCTTGAGAATACCATTAAATTAGTAAACAGCAAGCCAAATTGATCATGATAAAAGGATGATTTCACTAGACATCCTACAGATATTAAAATGATAAGAATGTATTATGAAGAACCATATGCTAATAAGTCTGACAATTTAGATGAAATGACAAATTCTATCTCAAAAGACAAAAGCTCATTCAGAAGGAAACATACTGAATATCTCTACATCTATTAAAGAAATGGAATTAATGGAATTTTTAGTCAAAAACCTGCTAACAACAAAAGCAAGTCAAACCAAAATGGGTTCACTGGTGAATTTTACCTAACATTTAAGAAAAAAAATAATACCAATTCCACATAAACTCTTACCAAAAATGAAAAGGAAATAATACTTTTGAACTATTTTTATGAAGCTGGCATTATCCAGATGCCAAAAGCAGTCATACATTACACAAAAACTATAGAGAAACTTCTTCAACTTGATAAAAAGTACCTATGAAAACCCTACAACTGGGGAGCCTGGGTGGCTCAGTCAGTTAAGCATCTGCCTTCGGCTCAGATCATGATCTCGGGATCCTGGGATCAAGCCCTGCATCGGGCTCCCTGCTCGGCGGGAAACCTGCTTCTCCCTCTTCCACTCCCCCTGCTTGTGTTCCCTCTCTTGCTATGTCTCTATCTGTCAAATAAATAAAATCTTTGAAAAAAAAAAAAAAGAAAGAAAGAAAAGAAAACCCTACAGGTAACATTGGCTAGGGTATAGTAGTTGTACAACAGTAGCCCAGTCAGGTGACAAAAAAATCTGACCCCCTGTGAAAAGGACCCCTGTTTCTGGTCTCTCTCTTTTAGAAGGGAAATTGAGTGTGCCGCTTTGTCATTCTTGAAATCTACCAGGAAAGGGAGAGCAAATGGTTAGGTTTCCACTAAGCTTCTCTCTATGAGTAAATATGTTTCCTGGAATGGTATAATGGATTTATGTAGTGAAACAATTAGCTAACGGGTATTATTTAGTTTCTTAATAAAGACTCAGCACTATGACACAGACATGGTAGCTTGTGACATGGCAAATTGGTTGAGAAAGTGACACTTGAACCAGAGACCATCCCAAGCAGAGAAACTATTAAAAGAAGTATTGGAGAACCAATGCATATGTTCTCATAATTTCATAATGGCAACTGGTGCCTTTTGACCTTTCTAGTATGTTCACAATTTTGCTTAAGGTAAGCCCTAACAGCCAGCAATATAGATTCCTGTTTATTTATTCAAAATTCAGGACATCACTTTCATTTCATTCTTTAAAAGATTAAAATAACAAGGCAATGTTACCAAAAAATACCCCCTCTGCATTTTAATGATACTGTTTTTTTAAATAAGCAGTTTCAGATTTAGTTGTGATTTATATATGACAAACAAAAAAGTTTTATTGACACTATCATTATCAGTAGTGTAGCTAAATTAATATAATTGAAAAATGACCATATGTCAACTCATCACAATAAATATATTTTAAACATCTTGAATTGGCATAGCACTTACAATTAAGTTGCACAATATAGCTTCAGATAGAAGCCATGGCAAAAATGTTTTTTTAAGTTGTGGCTTCGGCTACAAGGTGACTCTAATTTAAGGGAATCTTTAATTATTAATATTTCTGAGAAATGTATAAACTCCTTTCCCTTTTGCCCTCAATAACAACAGCTCCTACAGGCAATGTATTTTCTAATACTCTTATTACTTCATCTGTTAGCAGTTTGTTAAAAAAAAAAAATACTGACAATTCCAAAGCTAGTAATGAAGTTAGCTGGTGAATCATAATGCTGTACATCTTTTTGACATAGAGCATAGATGTCTTAATAATTGGCTGTAGATGAGTGCAAAGAGTGAAGAGATTTTACAGAAGATAATTCTGGCATATCATGTCTAAGAGCTGAAGGGAAATACAAATATTTCAAATAAAAATTATATGTGGAATATTCTAACTCCTGGCCTTGTACCAGGGTCTGTGGGTAACACAGGAAGAATAAAACACAGTTACTGATTACTGTGAGCTTAGAATCTATGAAAAGTTAAGTAAATTCCAATAACAGTTCAAGATAACAAAAGAAGATTTGACATATTGGCCCATGATGAATATAACCTATGTAGATGATAAATGCATTAAGTGCTCTGTACATGATGATTGCATGTTAGGAAAGTTAAATTGAGAATCACACTGAATATGCTTAAGTTTAGTTTAAATTGAGCTACAGACTATATTTTAATGTTTTAGTTTTAAAGAGACATTGAATTAGAGGTAATTTTATACTCAGAATACAAATGAAAATATTTATATCTCAAAGTGCTACTCACTATGCTCTAATTATGATGAAGCAAATCAGTTAATAAGAATTAAGCTCCCAAACCCTAGAAGAAAATAGCCTGTGACCAAGGAACTAACTGTGATGTACAAAAGCAATGTGATGCAAGGAGACATGCAAAATGGACTATGATAAGCCTGAAGTCTTGACAAAGAGTGGGGATGCTGCCGTGTACAGTTTGCTTATTTGGATGTTGCTCCATGACTATATATACTTTCTCTAACATTCACTTGTAAGAACAAACTACTGGAAAAAAAGGGTGCTGCTACAGCCATCAAGTCACAGTCCAAACATGGCCATTAATATGCTCTCTATCCAGCTGCATCTCTCATGAGGGAGATCCATCATGTCTGGGAGGTTCTATCACTTGCTTCCCTTTGTTTTTTCTCAAGTGTACCTAATTGACCTCTTTCCCCATTTTTTTAAGTGCCACCTATGGAGTGTTTGAATTTGTCTGTTGTGTATGGGGAAGGAGAAAAGACTGGACAGGTAAGTGGTAGAAATGGTTTTCCCCTAATTCCTTTAGTCGTTCTCCATTAGGGTCATTTGCAAATGTGGGGGCAGTTTTAGCTACCTCTGGCTTGCAGTGACCAGGGGACATACATGCTAACTGTCCTACAATATATGTCAGAGCTATGCAGAATGAAGAATTTTCCCATCAAATTGTGCTAATAGGGTTACCACTGAGAAGCACTCTAAGAGGGGTTTTGGAAGAGGAAACTATTACCTCAAATTTAGTAGATATTTTGGGAAGATTTGTTTAATATGTATAATATATATGACCCTAAGTTAGTCTGTACTTTATGCCTTAGAAGTCCTCATAAACATAATGTAAATTTTTTAAAAATTAGAGTAAATCTATTGGAGATTACTCTATCTTCTCACTGCTAGCCCAGCCCCACTAAATTATCATAGTGGAAATTATTCAGCAAAAATATTTGCAAAGATTTTTGTTGAATCTAATCAAGAAATAAAACTCCAAGGAAATGGCTATATAAGTATTATTTACAATCATTAAATCATGATCAAAGATACTCATTTATATAATTTTAAAGCATGCAAACTGTATGTGTTTATATGTTTCTTGCTAAGGAGAGAGATTGATAGACATATAATCATGGAAATTTATCTAATGTGACATGCAAATCACTCTGAACACTTCAAAAAGAGAGAACAAATTTTTGTGACAACAGTGAAATGATCCTATATCTGCCTTGTGTACAGATGTGTGTGTTTGTTTCTTGCATTATCTAGCCGAGGCAGTTTTA